AAAAAAAAAAGTAGGTTAAATTGTTACAATTCCTTTTAAAACTATGTGTCCTTCTAAGCTACTTAGATTTCTCTAAGCCCATCTTTCCTTAAATAGGATGGTAGTATATGTATCCTGCCTGTCTTGCTGAGTCTTGCACATCAAAAGCTGATTTGTATGAAGTAACATATTGTATAAATGTTGTGGAAACAATGAAATAACTTTGTGGCATTTTCTAAGAGCCTGTAGGATGAGAGCTGCCTAACTTTTCCTGCAAGATAGTACAGATTTTATAGATTTGGATTTAATATTTTACCATCATGAGGTTTCTTTTTTTTTAAAAAATATTTTTTTACTTGTTGATAGATCTTTATTTTCTTTATTTATATGTGGGGTTGAGAATTGAACACAGTGCTTCACACATGCCCTAGCCCTAGAGGCAGAGTATAAGATGACTAAAAAAAGAGGGACTTCTTTATTTTTTGTGATCCTGAAGGCTCAGAGATGATGTTTAAGCTACAGTTTTACATATATTTTACTACATTTTTATAATGCTAAACAGTTGAAAACCCAAAGCAAATAGCAAATCCTCCTCCTCACTTTGTTTTTGTTTGCAGCACTAGGTATTGAATCCAGGGATGCTTTACCATGGAGCTACACCCCCAAGCCATTCTATTTTTTTTTATTTTGAGGCAGAGTTTTGCTAGGTTGCTGAAGCTGGCCTCGAACTTGTGATCCTCCTTCATCAGCCTCCTAAGTTTCTGGGATTATAAGTATACACCACAACACATAGCTAAAATGCAAATCATCATTTGAGCATTTCTAAGTTGGCGTATTAATTCCAATTATTTAAGATCATGTAAATGTTTTCCATGATTAAGATTATAAGGTATATAGATATTCTCAGTGACTGCGGGTATAACTCAGTTATAGTGTGCTTGCCTAACGTGTGAGGCTCTGGGTTCAGTTTCCAGCACTGCAAAAAGAAAAGAAAAAAATATTCATTCTCAATGTTAATAATGTAATTGTTCAGTATTAAAATACTAAGGTCAGGTATTTATTTTGAAGGTATATACATTTAAAATCAGCAATCTTATAGAAATTAGTAAAAACTGCAGCATACCATAGAGCCCTACAAATTTACTTATTTGTAGGTTCCACGTAGGGATATGTACTATGTTTCTGTACTATGGGAAGCCTGGTACATTAGTATCATTTATATAATAGTATAGGAATGTTCATACTTTTGGTATTATGATATACTTTAATTGAGAAGTGGTATTGTTTAATGACAAAACTGAACCCAAAGTCTGAAGACTGTGTTCTAGATCTGGTTTCTCTAGTCACTCTTTATCATAGTAGTAAGTTAACCTTTCTGAGCCTCATATAAAATTAGGATGTATTAGTTTCCCGTTACTTGGAGCATATGAGAAACTTAGTGGATGAAAAATTATTCATTTGTGATGTCATAGTTGCTATAGGTCAGCATTTTGGGGGTTCTACTTCAGGATCTTGTGAAGTTGCTCTCAGAGCTGAAGTTTTTAGAGCATGGCTGAAGCTAAGAGATTGAGTTTCAAGATGACCTGCTCACGTGGCTGGCAAGTTGGTTCCTTTCCATGAAAGGTTTTTCATGAAGCTGTCCTCTTGCCATGGGAGTTGGCTTCCACAGAGCAGTATTCAAGGTACCAATATGGAAACTATAGTGCCTTTTATGATTTATCTATATTTGTTTTTTAATGTATTCTTTCGGATTCATAGACCGAAAGAGTATAAGGAGTATAAGGTAAGGATCACTGGGGACTCTTATGGGGGATTGGCTACTTGAGAGGATAACCTCTGCCTGACATAGGATTGCTTTGAGGTTAATTTAAGAATTTATATGAAAGTCATTTGTAAATCATTTATTAAGACAATATCATTGAGGCTGAGTAAAAGTGGAATTAGTTTGTTTTATGCCATGTTAACATTATGCCTGTTCCAAGTCTTTCTTCTCTTGCTAAAAAATTATTTTATCTTTTATCTTTATTTTGTGTTAAAAAAATCTACTCCTTTAATAAAAGGCTACAGCAAAATGTGTTTTTCAAGTTTTTCCCATCCACGGGTATAAAAGTAGTATGTTGAATGGGAGAAGATTAGAAATAATAGTGATGGTAGCAAGAACCTTTTGGTCCTCTGCTGAGTAATATTCTAATATGTCATTCTAGAGAGTCTATCTCCTTGATGAAATTTCTACATGTCTTATTCTTTGTATATCTCTCTTGTCATTTGCTTGATTTTGCCTGGATTAGAGTTCTTTTGTGGATTTGTCTATTCATATGTTAGACTGGAAACTTCTTTTTTCTTTGG